AGAGTGTAACTAAGGCATGTTATGACACTTTAGATAAGTATAATTGAATGCAATCAAATCAGCCCATCTCCTGCAAAATTTAATTTTACTATTTTAACCTGCTGGAATTCATAGAAATATTTAGTAAAAGCATGGGTAAAGAGGTATTCATAAGGTACAATATACTTGACTTGCATAAAAAAAAATTTGATGCAGTCCCTCAGATGGAGGACTGGGCATTTTATACAGGTGCCTTATAGATGTAATTACCATAGTCTGGATTATGTTACTCTTGCAAAGAATACTGTTTTACTCCTTGAACAGTCCCATTTTCTTGGGACTACACTTGGAATTAGGATTTCAACATCTGACTCTCAATTAAGCTATGTTTAAACCGTGTTAGTAAAATGTTCCCCAAACATTCAATTCTACCTCCCAGCCCCTTCTTGTTAGCCATCCAACACTTGATTTAAGAGCCTTTTGCTATCCTATCCCAGAACCTGAGTCATATTGCTGTGTCAAGCTCGCTTCCATCATGTCTTCCCAACTTTCAGGAATGTCTTTATGTTTCTTTACCCCATTACCTTGCCTCTTAATAATATCTCTGTGATTTTGTCATAAAAGTGCCTGATTCAACATTGTGTTATTTTTGGTTTTATATCCGTGTAAATGTCTTTAAATCAAAGGAGAGTCAGAGTTGTAAATCAGACATTAGGGGTCAGATTCTGTTCCACATAGTGAGAGTCTAAGTGGATTTAGGCTTGTAAGTGCAATTCTATTCAACCCCATTCATGTCTTGAAAATCCAGTAACACATTTGCTTCTGTAAAAATTCATCATCTAGTTCTTATGACTGAGTCACAAAAGAGCAGTGAAGAGGACTCACCCACTTTTTGCACTAATCATTTTTCAGGGATCTAGAAGAGTGGCATAGAATTGCATTTAGGAGTATTCCACCTGATAGGTGGAATACAATCTGGCCTTTGATTTATACATTTCTTTTTAATTGGCTTATTCACACGGATGTAAGAGAGAGACATCATCATAAGATAAGCAGCTAACATTTTCTAGCCACTCTGTTGAACAATGACAGTTATCAGAGCCTTGCAGGTCAGTGTCTTTTTGGAAGAGAAATCAGTGGGATTTGGGTACTATTTTACTGCAAATTATTTATTTTACAGTATGTGCACCAAGCCTTGAACAAAGGTTACAAACAAAATGCTGGCAAACCCATCTTTCTGAAATCTCAGCCCAAACACAAGTTCCAGTACAGCAAGAACTGATTCTAATGACATTAAAGTGAAGAGCAAACTCTCTTGCTACTGGCAACAGCTTCACATACAAGAAATTATGTCAAAATACTAATGATAGGGCCATAGGTCTTCAAACTGTAAATTTGCTCATATGTTAACAGAAGGAACTTATAAGTCTGATTAACAGCACCACCTCATGACTCTAACCATAATATTATTATTTAAAACTACTTAATTTGCTGAAAATAGAAAATAAATGGCTGCTTCTCAGATTGGTAAAAAAATATGAAATATATCAGGATTAGAATTGCAGACTACTATCTAAAAGCAGGTGATTTAAACAATGCTTTTCATAAGGGCAGAGCATTCTGCTCCTTTGCTCACAGCTCTGGTAATTCCAGACACAAGAAATCTGAAGTGACATCCTCTGGATATTAATAGAGAATGTGGTCGCTATAACAGCTTAGCTATACAAGTCATGCTTTTGATTCATGATTCTAAAACTTACTAAGAAAAACTTACTAAGAAAAAATAATTAAAGTATTTCAAAATATACGGCCCTTTTCTCCATTGCATTATTTTGAAACAGCAAGATAAAATAGGTTGTGTTCAAATGCAGTTATGTATTATTTGTTTGTAATAGCTATGGACTCAGGCACTGTAAGTGAGAAGAATTCCATTGCACGTGTGTGGATTTTTAGATTTTTAGAGGAAGTTTTCTTAACTGTATTTGTGATAAAGGGCCTAATCTAAAGGCAATGAAGTCAGTGAAATGTCTTCATTTCGTTTGAGTAGGCTTTGGATCAGGCCCATTGAGGAGGTTTTTGATGACAAAATTCTACTTAATTCCCGTCATAATAACAACTATAGCAAACTACCCTTTTCAGCCAACTTTTCAGCCAACTAATAAATAAATGGAGAAATGACCACATTGAAAGGTTACTCAACAATAGAAATGTTCTTTTATTCAGACAAATGGCTGGTTTTTAAGCTAATATAGATAGAGCAGGTTTTAGACTAACTTCTAATTCTTCTGCTTGAGGAGTAAGGTTTACATTCTTACAAAATAAAAAAGAAGCTAATAGCATTCTTGACAAGGAAAATTGAGGGAATAAGAGCATAAATTGCAGAAAAGACTGCTAAAAATGATTTAATTGACACTAAACTGAAGATATAGGTTTAGACAAAATGTATAATGGAGAAATGATGGAACAAGCCTTTGAGTATATAAAGAGGCTTTCATCTACCTCTGACTCTGACAAAGATGAGATTTTTTTCACTAACTTATTTGACAAGAATATGTAAGAATTATGCTGATAAAGGAGAATAAGTATCACAGGTTAAAATACATTGTTCCAAATACTTTTGAGAAGAACATGTAGAACAAACCCCAGCCAAAGACAGCAAAAATTAACATTTTTAAAGTCTTTGTGCTTTTGTGATTTTATTTTAATAATACAAAAGAAACATTTTGTAACACAAAGAAATGTAAAAGTTAAAAAATAAAGTACTAGTTACAGACTAGAAAATGTGAATAAGAGATATTGTACTTCATTGGCAAAGCTAAAAAAAAAGGTACTTTGCAAAAATTATCTTATTTCTCAGATATTCTTACAGATCTAGCTAGTCTGAATTCTAAGGGTCTTAAAGGCTATGGTGGACAGCAAATCACCAGTAAACAATAGGAACTGTTGAATGAGAATTTACACTTCACATGTATGTGATATGTATATTGAAGTACGGCAAGATAGAAACTGAACCCATCTGATACATATCATAGGACTATACTGCTACATTTTTATTTTAGGGTTTGAGTACCACGTTCAGACTCTTCTAGTCCTATGTTTGCTGACATACAGGGCGTATAATAGCAGGTGGGGGCTGAACTAGGACAAGATTCATCGATTCATAGGTTGTAAGGCCGGAACGGACCTTGGAAGATCACGGGGTCCAGCCCCCTGCAACAATCTTTCTTCTCTTTTGGGTTATGTGGGTTTTGCTACACTCACATAAAACTGCCACATGCCTTCAGACCTATAAGGGATTCTCCATCACACACAGTTCAGCAGCCTTCTTCCCAACATACACACACTCTCCATAAATGTTCATTCTTAGGGCATTGTGAGGTTGGGGGAAAGTACACCAGAGTTCATCTCAGGTAGCTAAATACTGGTATTGCAGAAAACCCTCTGTATGGTTTTAATCTCAGGATTTTTCAGGACCAATAGTTAGAAAACTCATCTTATGCCTGTCTAACTAAGAAAATGTGTCATGGAAACCAATGAAGGGAAATTCAACTTGAAATCTCACTGTGTTCTTTTCCTTATAGTCACTATCCTTTCCATAACCAGATTTCAGAAAAAACAATTGGACTAAGGTGTGGGGACATTGTCCAGATGGGGGATTAGCCCGTGTCACTTTTCCACATCACCAGCAGGAAAAGCATGTTAGCAGGTAGAGGCAGAATGTCACCCATTCGCAGCCCAGGCATGAAAAAAGCCCAAATATGTTTCTAAAGGCTTTCCCCATCCCTACACACTTTGAAGCTGGAAGGAGGCAAAAAAACAGAGTTTCTTTTTATCCAGCTCCTTTTGATCTACTCCTAGAGCCAGATGCAAAGGGATTTGAAAGGAAGGGTCTGGACTGGAAGAGAAGAGGTCGTGGCGGGGATCGCTCCCCTGTGCTCCTAGACACTGTAATTGACCAGCCTGCGGATCGCAGTAAATACGGACACTGCCGTTTAGCCCTACTTCTCTACCTGCTTCTCCAAAGTCAATTTACGCCTCCTTAGTCTCAAGCAACAACAAAGCAGTTGTGAAGTTGCCCGCGAGGGAGAGCAGGGAAGCCGGGCTGCCGCACGCAGCTCTTTCCACTGCTAGCCAGTGCCCGGCCCGGGCGTAATGAAAGGTAATTGGCGCGGCGCTTCTCTCTCTGCAGCCTGCATCTTGCTTCCAAGTGCCTCTAATTGAATTGCTGTCATTTTTGCCCTTCCTAATGCAGTGACTTGGCGAGGGGAAATGACCGGGGGATGTGGGCGGCTCTCCCTCCCCCACCCCCTTGGGAGCGAGCCCCTCCTGCCAAGTTGCGCGG